CTGGCCACATGACAAGCCATGGCCCATCATGGCCACATGACAAGCCATGGCCCACCCTGGCCACATGACAAGCCATGGCCCATCATGGCCACATGACAAGCCATGGCCCATCATGGCCACATGACAAGCCATGGCCCATCCTGGCCACATGACAAGCCATTGCCCACCCTGGCCACATGACAAGCCATGGCCCTCCCTGGCCACATGACAAGCCATGGCCCACCCCGGCCACATGATGGGTCATGGCCCACCCTGGCCACATGACAAGCCATGGCCCACCCTGGCCACATAACAAACCATGGCCCGCCCTGGCCACATGATGGGTCATGGCCCACCCTGGCCACATGACAGGTCATGGCCCACCCTGGCCACATGACAAGCCATGGCCCACCCTGGCCACATAACAAACCATGGCCCGCCATGGCTTCATGATGGGTCATGGCCCACCCTGGCCACATGACAAACCATGGCCCACCCTGGCCACATGACAAGCCATGGCCCACCCTGGCCACATGACAAGCCATGGCCCATCATGGCCACATGACAAGCCATGGCCCACCCTGGCCACATGACAAGCCATGGCCCATCATGGCCACATGACAAGCCATGGCCCATCATGGCCACATGACAAGCCATGGCCCATCCTGGCCACATGACAAGCCATTGCCCACCCTGGCCACATGACAAGCCATGGCCCATCATGGCCACATGACAAGCCATGGCCCACCCTGGCCACATGACAAGCCATGGCCCACCCTGGCCACATGACAAGCCATGGCCCACCCTGGCTACATGACAGGTCATGGCCCACCCTGGCTACATGACAGGTCATGGCCCACCCTGGCTACATGATAGGTCATGGCCCACCCTGGCCACATGACAAACCATGGCCCATCCTGGCCACATGACAAGCCATGGCCCACCCTGGCCACATGACAAGCCATGGCCCACCCTGGCCACATGACAGGTTGTGGCCCACCCTGGCCACATGACAAGCCATGGCCCACCCTGGTTACATGACAGGTTGTGGCCCACCCTGGCCACATGACAAGCCATGGCCCACCCTGGCTACATGACAGGTTGTGGCCCACCCTGGCCACATGACAAGCCATGGCCCACCCCGGCTACATGACAGGTTGTGGCCCACCCTGGCCACATGACAAGCCATGGCCCACCCTGGCTACATGACAGGTTGTGGCCCACCCTGGCCACATGACAAGCCATGGCCCACCCCGGCTACATGACAGGTTGTGGCCCACCCTGGCCACATGACAAGCCATGGCCCACCCCGGCTACATGACAGGTTGTGGCCCACCCTGGCCACATGACAAGCCATGGCCCACCCTGGCCACATGACAAGCCATGGCCCACCCTGGCAACATGACAGGTTGTGGCCCACCCTGGCCACATGACAAGCCATGGCCCACCCTGGCTACATGACAGGTTGTGGCCCACCCTGGCCACATGACAAGCCATGGCCCACCCTGGCAACATGACAGGTTGTGGCCCACCCTAGCCACATGACAAGCCATGGCCCACCCCGGCTACATGACAAGCCATGACCCACCCTGGCCACATGACAAGCCATGACCCACCCTGGCCACATGATAAGCCATGGCCCACCCCGGCCACATGACAGGTTGTGGCCCACCCTGGCCACATGACAAGCCATGGCTCACCCTGGTCACATGACAAGCCATGGCCCATCCTGGCCACATGACAAACCATGGCCCACCCTGGTCACATGACAAGCCATGACCCACCCTGGCCACATGACAAGCCATGGCCCATCCTGGCCACATGACAGACCATGGCCACATGACAAGCCATGGCCCACCCTGGCCACATGACAAGCTATGGCCCACCCAAGCCACATAACAAGCCATGGCCCACCCAGGCCACATGACAAGCCATGGCCCACCCAGGTCACATAACAAGCCATGGCCCACCCTGGCCACATAACAAGCCATGGCCCACCCTGGCCACATAACATGCCATGGCCCACCCTGGCCACATATCAAGCCATGGCCCACCCTGGCCACATATCAAGCCATGGCCCACCCAGGTCACATAACAAGCCATGGCCCACCCTGGCCACATGACAAACCATGGCCCACCCTGGCCCACCATGGTCACATAATAAGCCATGGCCCACCCAGGCAACATAACAAGCCATGGCCCACCCTGGCCACATGACAAGCCATGGCCCACCCTGGCCACATGACAAGCCATGGCCCACCCTGGCCACATGACAAACCATGGCCTACCCTGGCCACATGAGAAACCATGGCCCACCCTGGCCACATGACAAACCATGGCCCACCCTGGCCACATGACAAACCATGGCCTACCCTGGCCACATGACAGACCATGGCCCACCCTGGCCACATGAGAAACCATGGCCCACCCTGGCCACATAACAAACCATGGCCTACCCTGGCCACATGAGAAACCATGGCCCACCCTGGCCACATGAGAAACCATGGCCCACCCTGGCCACATGACAAACCATGGCCCACCCTGGCCACATGACAAACCATGGCCCACCCTGGCCACATGACAAACCATGGCCCACCCTGGCCACATGACAAACCATGGCCCACCCTGGCCACATGACAAACCATGGCCCACCCTGGCCACATGACAAACCATGGCCCACCCTGGCCACATGACAAACCATGGCCCACCCTGCCCACATGACAAACCATGGCCCACCCTGGCCACATGACAAACCATGGCCCACCCTGGCCACATGACAAACCATGGCCCACCCTGGCCACATGACAAACCATGGCCCACCCTGACCACATGACAAACCATGGCCCACCTTGGCCACATGACAAACCATGGCCCACCCTGGCCACATGACAAACCATGGCCCACCCTGGCCACATGACAAACCATGGCCCACCCTGGCCACATGACAAACCATGGCCCACCCTGGCCACATGACAAACCATGGCCCACCCTGGCCACATGACAAACCATGGCCCACCCTGGCCACATGACAAACCATGGCCCACCCTGGCCACATGACAAACCATGGCCCACCCTGGCCACATGACAAACCATGGCCCACCCTGGCCACATGACAAACCATGGCCCACCCTGGCCACATGACAAACCATGGCCCACCCTGGCCACATGACAAACCATGGCCCACCCTGCCCACATGACAAACCATGGCCCACCCTGGCCACATGACAAACCATGGCCCACCCTGGCCACATGACAAACCATGGCCCACCCTGGCCACATGACAAACCATGGCCCACCCTGACCACATGACAAACCATGGCCCACCTTGGCCACATGACAAACCATGGCCCACCCTGGCCACATGACAAACCATGGCCCACCCTGGCCACATGACAAACCATGGCCCACCCTGGCCACATGACAAACCATGGCCCACCCTGGCCACATGACAAACCATGGCCCACCCTGGCCACATGACAAACCATGGCCCACCCTGGCCACATGACAAACCATGGCCCTGACCACTTAGTACATGGTCGGTTCCTAAAGAATATAAATTAACCTTTATCAACATTTCAAAAAAGTCAATAATTCCTGGGAATTATATAATAAAATATTATTATATAATAATAATTATATAATAATCATAAACCGTTTATAACCGTCTATAATGTACTATGTATGTACTTTTACCGGAATAATCGTTTTGAATTTGAATTTGAATTTTGAATCATTTTTTCATCCTCCACTAAGACGTACAAGTTAATTAATGGCCATTTATTAATGGTTATCCAAACTGATCTGTATAGTCTAAATGGGGGGACTAATACGAGAAGATATGGCTATATAATGCTTCAATAGATCGAATTAATGCTTCTATATTTTATTGTTAACGTTTCTATTTGTGTTGCTATGAGGCACTGATGGATGGCTCTATGAGTCGTGACCTCCAGCTCTATGTGGCACTGGTGGGTAGCTAGAGTCGTGACCTCCAGCTCTATGTGGCACTGGTGGGTAGCTAGAGTCGTGACCTCCAGCTCTATGTGGCACTGGTGGGTAGCTAGAGTCGTGACCTCAAGCTCTATGTGGCACTGGTGGGTAGCTAGAGTCGTGACCTCCAGCTCTATGTGGCACTGGTGGGTAGCTAGAGTCGTGACCTCCAGCTCTATGTGGCACTGGTGGGTAGCTAGAGTCGTGACCTTCAGCTCTATGTGGCACTGGTGGGTAGCTAGAGTCGTGACCTTCAGCTCTATGTGGCACTGGTGGGTAGCTAGAGTCGTGACCTCCAGCTCTATGTGGCACTGGTGGGTAGCTAGAGTCGTGACCTTCAGCTCTATGTGGCACTGGTGGGTAGCTAGAGTCGTGACCTTCAGCTCTATGTGGCACTGGTGGGTAGCTAGAGTCGTGACCTCCAGCTCTATGTGGCACTGGTGGGTAGCTAGAGTCGTGACCTCCAGCTCTATGTGGCACTGGTGGGTAGCTAGAGTCGTGACCTTCAGCTCTATGTGGCACTGGTGGGTAGCTAGAGTCGTGACCTCCAGCTCTATGTGGCACTGGTGGGTAGCTAGAGTCGTGACCTCAAGCTCTATGTGGATAGCTAGAGTCGTGACCTCCAGCTCTATGTGGCACTGGTGGGTAGCTAGAGTCGTGACCTCAAGCTCTATGTGGGTAGCTAGAGTCGTGACCTCCAGCTCTATGTGGCACTGGTGGGTAGCTAGAGTCGTGACCTCAAGCTCTATGTGGGTAGCTAGAGTCGTGACCTCCAGCTCTATGTGGCACTGGTGGGTAGCTAGAGTCGTGACCTCAAGCTCTATGTGGGTAGCTAGAGTCGTGACCTCCAGCTCTATGTGGCGCTAGTGGGTAGCTGGAGTCGTGACCTCCAGCTCTATGAGGCACTGACAAAGGGGTCTCCGAGTCATGACCTGAGGCTCTATGTCACACACTGATGTATGGCTCTGTGAACAAAGTTCAAGTGTATACAGGAAAACTTTAATAAATACAGTTTACGACCAGTTATAATGTCAACATCCTGCTATGGTAACGAAACTTCTCCAGCACTGGGGAGGAAAGCTACGTTACAAACTGAAGTGATAATTCAAAGTGACTCACAACGTTACAGTAACACTGTGATGAACAATAGTGTCCAGGCTGCAAGCAGAGGAAACGTCTCGAGTTTCGTTCGTAAATCAACGGTAGCGGAAAATAGCAACAGCTGTATATATATATATGCAAGAGATCGTTGTTGAGGCAGTTATAACGTTAGGAGTGCCAGTCACACACACACAGGCCCCCCTGACCTCCTGCTCCAGTGCTGGCATCATGGCATTCTCCAACTCCAATTTTGACGATTTTGGGTCCATGTATAGTGTCACCCCGGCCACGAGCGGCGGACTAACGACACCAGAATTCGGCGGAACTCATTACATGGCGAACTTCAATTACAGCGATGATTCTGCCACGACAAGCTTAGAGTCGTACGGAATTGCAGATACAACAAGCTTGGAGTCGTACGGAATTGCAGATACAACAAGCTTGGAGTCGTACGGAACTAATGGTAGTGTAAGTTTGGATTTGTATGCACCTCATGGCACAACAAGCGTAGATTCTTACGGGACTACAGGTACAAGACTGGATACATACGGTACAGCAAACGCAACAACCTTGACTTCGTACGGAATTAATGATACAAGTTTTGATTCTTGTGAAATTCCAGATGCAGCAAGCTTGAATTCATATAGAGCTACAGATACATCAAGTTTGGATTCAGATGGAATTATAAGCACAAGCGGCCTGGATTCTTACACACCTTCGTATGGAAGAACTGGAACAGGCTTGGAATCCTACGAAACCACAAGTGTGACAAACTTGGTTTCATATGGAACTACAGATGTAGAAAGATTGAATCCCTATGGAAATACTGGCACGACAGGTTTGAATCTCTTCGGAACTGTAGATACAATGAGCTTGGACTCTTACTATACTCCAGGTGACCCCAGCATGTATTCTTACGGAACTACAGGTCCAGTTAGCTTAGAGGGGCGGTCGGACGTGCATGAGCGCGCATCTCTGAACGCATTCCCAGACACGCAGCTACGCTTACCTCCTCCCGAGTCTGCGACTGGACGTTTCAACCCCACTGCGAACATTTTTCCCGGCTCTCAAGACGTCTATCCCCGCGGAGAGGACCCGAGCGCCTTCTCCAAGGAGTCACTCAGTTGCCTGATACAAGGGACGCATTCCCTCACCCTAGCTGGGTCTCTCGAAGAGGTAAGTTCAACTGTCCTTGTTGTTTTGATGAGTGGGTTACAGTGCAACTATATAACTGTAGGCTGCGATAATACACTAGTTTAGGAACGACATGTAGTCAGCTACACCCAACGTATAGATCGGCGTGAGGAAGTCTCTGGTGGTTCTCTAACCCTGGGTGTAAGAGCGGCTCTGGTGGACCTCTTACTCTGGGTGTAAGAGCGCCTCTGGTGGTCCACTATAGGCGATAGAATGGGTATGGGGGTCCACTACCACCCACAAAATGGGTATGGGGTCCACTACCACCCATAAAATGGGTATGGGGTCCACTACCACCCACAAAATGGGTATGGGGTCCATTACCACCAATAGGATGGGTATTGGGTCCATACCATCAATAGGATGGGTATGGGGTCCGCTACCACCCACAAGATGTGTATGGGATGCATATTCAATGAACTTCACTAAAACACGCGGCTCTTTGTATGGTGGAATGCATGGTGGCATTACCACAGGATACTAAAGTCTAGCAATATGATTTCGTACTAGTGACTGACTCTCACTAAGACCTGATAGTTTAGTCTGACTGTCAAGCATTGGATACTTGAACCTATCACTGTGGCATAGTACTATAATGTCCCACTAAGATTAGACTTCAAGACACGGCTCTGGGACCTGGCTTAATATTACACTGATTCTCTGTCTTAACCTTAATATTTTGCATTGTGACACGATTGTAAGCTCTGACGCGAAAGTTTATCTCCTGCAGGATCTTGGTCCCATGGTGAAACCGAACGAGGTGCTGCCGCAGGATGCCAGCTTGGTTCCTGTGGCAACTGGTGGGCAGCCGTCGACCACCGCCACCTCTTCCGGCGCTTCCTGTCTCTCAAGCCCTTGGGGTAGTGGTGCTGCCGCTTGTCACACGCTTACTGCCTTGCCTCGGGTCACATCCTTTGTTGCTCCCGGCAGAGCTGACGTCGGAGGCGGCGGGATGTCTGCCCCAGTCACTTCCAGACGACACGAGGAGCGATCTGAGCGGATCCGGACTCTCAATAATGAGTCCTCGCGAGAGTACCGACGCCGCAGGTCGCAGTCCAAGATGAAAACTTCAGAGCTGGCTAAAGAACTGGAGCATAAGAACACCATCCTGCAGGCCAAAGCAGCGGGTCTAGAGCAACTCCTGCAGGACATGAAGACCTGCTACAACACCTACTATGGCGCCGACGGACAACCTCGAGTCGTAGACAACTCTCGCCATCCATCATAACTTTTACGCATTGTGCTTAATTAAACACTAACATATTATCTTATGTTATTCACCCCTATATTCTTATTTTAACAAAAGTATATTTATATTTGATTGCTACTTTTAAACATCTATTTGTTACATCCCTGTCAATCACACTAAGTATTTTGTCTCTAACATGTCTCCACTCTCTCCTTTTCTCTAGCGAACTTAGGTTAAGTTCTTTCGGTATTTTTACCCCATTCTTCGTCATTCTGGGCCGAACCTCGTTGCAACCCTCTGAACCATTTCAAGTATCCTTAGGTGTTTCTTGAAACGGGGCTCCACGATAGGGAGGATACTCTAGGAGGTTGGTCTCACGTGGGCGGTGTAAAGTGATGTGAATGCTTCCTTACTTAGGTTCCTGGATAATGTTATGACTATTGCCTGGTCGAAATGCTTCGCTCTGTTGAACCTAAGTTGAAATCTTATTGGGTTTTATATACCTATGTGCATCCACAGTTATGTTTGGTGTTATATCCATTCGCAGGTCTCTTTCTTTAGTCGTTACAAAAGGTAGTTTCCCTTCATTGTGTACTATCCTTTTGGTCTCCTTTAACCTGTTTCCAGTTCCATCACCTTACACTTGCTGATATTAAAATCCAGTAGCCATTTCTCGGACCAATTTTGCAGCTTCTCTAAGTCTTCTTGAAATGTTTTTCAATCATCAGTTGTTTCGACTCTTCTTGTTAGTTTTGCAGCCTCTGTAACCATCGACACATACGAATTAATACTTGTAGGTAGACCATTAACATAAATGAGAAATAGTACAGATCCCAGCACTGATTCTTCAGGTACTCCGCTTGTTACCAACGCGAGATGGACCTCTAACTTGTTCCTTGTCGCCTCTCCCTGCGACGCTGACTCCTGCCTGGTACAAGTGCGGTACAAGTGTCGGGGCTCTGCCATTTACTCCCACCTGCCTCTCAAGCTTGTGTAATAGTCTCTTGTGTGGAACTGAGTCGAAGACTTTTTGCTGTCCAGAAATGCACAATCTTTCTAACCTCTGTTTTGTCATATTTTGGTTACTTTATCACTGAAGTTCAGTAGGTTCGTTTGGTATGATTCTTTCCTGGAGCCATGTTGGATCTTGTTTATATATCCAATCCTCTCAAGGTGTTTAACTAGCATTATCCTTATTATTCTTTTGAGTACCTTCCAGGAGGATGCTTCTCAGTGGTACTGGTCTGTAGTTAAATGCCTCCTCCCTATCCCCCTTTCTTACATATTGGTACCTAGTCTTCCAGCAGCTGGACAAATCTCCTTTCAGAATTAAATTAGTGAAGACCACAGGTATAGGGACACACTGCGGGCGTGTGGAGTAGCTCTTAACCTCCATGATGATGCACTGTCTGGTCTAATAGTGTTGTCTCATCAAGTGATGCTAATACAGACGATGAGTCACAATAACGTGGCTGAAGTATGTTGGCCAGACCACACACTAGAAAGTGAAGGGATGACGACGTTTCGGTCTGTCTTTGACCATTCTCAAGTCGATCTCACACACTAGAAAGTGAAGGGACGACGACGTTTCGGTCCGTCCTGGACCATTCTCAAGTTGATCTCACAATCGACTTGAGAATGGTCCAGGACAGACCGAAACGTCGTCGTCCCTTCACTTCTAGTGTGTGGTCTGGTCAACAAGTGATGCTAGTTGTGTGATAACTTCCTCTGCTGTTACCTTAGTCAGTCTTTCGTCTAACATTGCCTCCTCTCCTAGCACTGGGACGCTGTTTTTCTCTATTATTCTCTCCTTCCTCTTAAAAAGATATTCTCTTAACCAGTTCAACACGCAGCTACACCTCCTTGCTTCTCATGGTAGCAAAGATGCCCCGTTTGAGGCACATCAAAGGATATCTGGCAGCCCAGGTGGATGTATATACAGTCAGCCTATCCTTCTTTTTCCAGCCTGGTCACCGGCTCCGTGTCGACCTCCGGTATGTTCACCTGACGCGACTTATCGTCAATGATTCCACCATATTGGATCTATTATTTCTAGGATCTACGAGTTCCACGAGTTTCTTCCCGAGTAATTTCAGAGTAGGTTAAAGGGTGCGTACGTCAGCGTCAGACGTTGTTTACCATCAACTTTCTTCAGTATTCACTGGGAAGTATCAGGGTGTGCGGCTTCTCATACCGCTAGAGAGATGCTGCTCTACTTCCTCTATTGTTAGTTTTATGTCGCATAGTCCATCATTGTAGGTATGTGGGCCTGCGGGCCGCTCCAAGGAACAGCCTGGTGGACCAAACTCTCACAAGTCAAGTCTGGCCTCGGGCCGGGCTTGGGGAGTAGAAGAACTCCCAGAACCCCATCAACCAGGTATCATTGAAGGTTGTCCTGCGCCCTACACCCTGGAGGTGTTTGGTGAAGAGCCTCAACACTTCTTATTGAGCTTGGCTCCTAATATTTACAAACATCTTTTTCTGACATTACTCTGTAGTTGTCAGCGCCGCTCTGTAGCCTGAAGTGCTATGTTATTCTAATACTATTTATATTTCCCTCCAAATTTTGATATATCAATTTGTTCTTTTGCAGTTGTTTTGATTCTTGACTTTCTTTCCTTCCATTTACATGGTTTACAAATCATATACATCATGTACAGCATGTTTTGCTGTACATTTACATGTTTTTGTTGTAAATCCCTTAACAATATATTATGGACTAACAATGTGCTTTAAGAACATAAGAACATAAGAACACAGGTAACTGCAGAAGGCCTATTGGCCCATACGATGCAGCTCCTATTTATAACCCCCCAATCCCACTCATATACATGTCCAACCCGCGCTTTGCTTCATTGTTCATAAGTGTTACAATGTGTGGGGGTCTACACAACATAACACTGCACAACCGCCTCCTCGGGGTCACCCCTCTCTAACACTAACGCGAATTTCATTACTTATCATGCTTTTCTTTCTGGTATGTTCTTCTTTAACCTTAAATATCCTCCCATCTTGGATTGGTTTTCATTCCAGCAATATACTCAAAGAGAACAACAACCATTAACTCCTAACGTTAGTTTGTGGATAAACGTAGTGGTAAGACACTCGCCTGGGGTTCCGCGAGCGCTTTGTCCTGGGTTCGTATCCTGGCCGGGGAGGATTTACTGGACGCAAATCCTTAACTGTAGCCGCTGTTTAACGCAACAATAAAATGGGTACTTGGTTGTAACAACGATTCTTCGCGGGGGTCGTATTCCAGGGACCATACGATTAAGGACTTGCCAGAAACGCTACGCGTACTAGTGGCTGTACAAGAATATAACAACTCTTGAATATATATATATATATATATAAATGTCTGTCTGATCATGGGAATAGATCAGGTCTAGCCTTGCTTGTTTATCCCTCAAAATCACATTTCCTCTTTGGCATATTGTGTTATGAAGTTTGCCTCCATGGCTTCTACCAGTTTCGCTCTGCATGTTGGTGACCCTCTTGTCTCCTAATATAGGAGGTTAATGTTAATGCTATAGTGGTTAATGTTGGTTTTTCAGAGAGGCTGGAGAAGGAAGAAGCGGGCATGGAAGCCCTATATAGTGAGGATAAAGATGGGAAAGATGAGGAGGGTGACCCAAGTTACAGCCCCGCTCCTGTGCCAGGTAAGTCAACTACGGGCTCACCATAGCCCGTGCTACCATGAACTTTTGGTCACAATAGCTGAATCTTAAACCACAACAACAACAGTGGAGGGTGAGGGAGATGGAGAGGAGTGAATGCACATGTTACGTGCCAGTTCCCAGGCGCCGGACACCACACACACGTCACACCACCATTGTGACGGCATCACCACCACCTTCCTTCGCCAGTGTGTGCAGGAAGTGACGCTGACCTTCATTGCTCGCCCTGAAAACTAACCATTCTCGGAAATACACTTATATTTCGTGTATCTACTTTATACTCCCCACCCCTCCCTAATATCCCATGTCTCTCTTATACGCCCTCACCCTACCTGATACTTCCAACTCTTCCATTGTACTTCTTATACCTCAATTATATTTTCAACCCCTTTCTTATACTTCTAGCCTCCTCCTTATATTCTGAATGCTCCCTGCGCCTCTCTGCATCTCTCTTTACCTCCCTTATATATCCTACACCTCCCCTATTCTTCCTAATACTCCCTGCAGCTCCCTATACCTCCCTAATACTTCCTGCACCTCCCTAATACTCCTTGTACCTCCATAATACTTCCAGTACCTCCACAATCCTCCCTAATCCTCCCTGTACCTCCCTTGAAGCCTACACCTTCCTCATTCTCCCCTAATACTCGCTGCACCTCCCTAATGATCCCTGTACCTCTCTTTATATTAATACCTCACTCATAGGTTAATGAGTATGAGTGAGACTCACATACCTCACTCATACTTACTGGGACAGAGAGTATTACAGAGTTCAATCTCTCAGTTAATGTTACCAGCAGGGGCACCAGGACCCTCAAAGCCGCTACTCGCCAACAAGACCAAGGCAGCAAGGCAAAAAGTTATAGATTTATGATTCTGGCGCAAATCTTCTCGATACTCCTTGTTTTTCTTCACTGAAGCAGGAAGATTAGAAATTAACTCCTGATCTGTGTTTGGAATTCTGTAGAGTGACATGTAGACCGCTCCCACTGTTAAACCACAGCCTCACACTACAATACAACACAGCCTCACACTGTACAAATCACACCACAATACAACACAGCTTCACACTGTACAAATCACACCACAATACAACACAGCTTCACACTGTACAAATCACACCACAATACAACACAGCCTCACACTGTACAAATCACACCACAATACAACACAGCCTCACACTGTACAAATCACACCACAATACAACACAGTTTCACACTGTACAAATCACACCACAATTCAACACAGCCTCACACTGTACAAATCACACACTACAATTCAACACAGCCTCACACTGTACAAATCACACACTACAATTCAACACAGCCTCACACTGTACAAATCACACACTACAATTCAACACAGCCTCACACTGTACAAATCACACACTACAATTCAACACAGCCTCACACTGTACAAATCACACACTACAATTCAACACAGCCTCACACTGTACAAATCACACACTACAATTCAACACAGCCTCACACTGTACAAATCACACACAACAATTCAACACAGCCTCACACTGTACAAATCACACCACAATTCAACACAGCCTCACACTGTACAAATCACACACTACAATTCAACACAGCCTCACACTGTACAAATCACACACTACAATTCAACACAGCCTCACACTGTACAAATCACACACTACAATTCAACACAGCCTCACACTGTACAAATCACACCACAATTCAACACAGCCTCACACTGTACAAATCACACACTACAATTCAACACAGCCTCACACTGTACAAATCACACACTACAATTCAACACAGCCTCACACTGTACAAATCACACACTACAATTCAACACAGCCTCACACTGTACAAATCACACACTACAATTCAACACAGCCTCACACTGTACAAATCACACACTACAATTCAACACAGCCTCACACTGTACAAATCACACACTACAATTCAACACAGCCTCACACTGTACGCAAAACACTCACGCTACAGTACAATTAAGTTTGTGTCCGATCCCTTGATTTTGTATTAAATATAATAATTCGTTTTTATTGTGGGACAGGCAGCCTGTGTGTATGTATATACGTTAGGCTGGTATCGAAGTTCCCCCTCCAAGGCCGAACTACAATAGCATCTTTCCTAGGATGTAACTATACAAGTTGCCTAACTCTCGGGTACCTATTTACTGCTACTAGGTGACTAGGTGCATTAGGTGAAAGGAAAGGTGCCTTTCAGTCGAATCCGGGATCTGCGATTGTGAGCGGAAAATGAACCCAACTATACTACCGAGACCCTTAGATATACATACAAGTGTCTCTAGTTTTAATAATGTTTGAGCATGATAGCTCTTGGTGGTCATCTCTCAACCACGTTTCAGTTAAATTTACAATATAAAATTTGCTGTTTAGTGCTTGCAGTAAGGCACTGACATCATGATGATGTTTGCTTACACCTTATACATAAAAGCTAATAGTGATACATCATAGTAATTTGTTAGTTAATATAGTGTTTGCGGCATAATACTTGCAGCTACGATCATTAAAATGGGGATTATCATAAGGCCAGTAATGGATAAGTTAGACCATAAGGTCAGTAATGGATAAGTTAGACCATAAGGTCAGTAATGGATAAGTTAGACCATAAGGTCAGTAATGGATAAGTTAGACCATAAGGCCAGTAATGGATAAGTTAGACCATAAGGCCAGTAATGGATAAGTTAGACCATAAGGTCAGTAATGGATAAGTTAGACCATAAGGTCAGTAATGGATAAGTTAGACCATAAGGCCAGTAATGGATAAGTTAGACCATAAGGCCAGTAATGGATAAGTTAGACCATAAGGTCAGTAATGGATAAGTTAGACCATAAGGTTAGTAATGGATAAGTTAGACCATAAGGCCAGTAATGGATAAGTTAGACCATAAGGCCAGTAATGGATAAGTTAGACCATAAGGCCAGTAATGGATAAGTTAGACCATAAGGTCAGTAATGGATAAGTTAGACCATAAGGTTAGTAATGGATAAGTTAGACCATAAGGCCAGTAATGGATAAGTTAGACCATAAGGCCAGTAATGGATAAGTTAGACCATAAGGCCAGTAATGGATAAATTAGATCATAAGGCCAGTAATGGCTAAGTTAGACCAGGAAACTGAACGCCGGCAAGTGAGGGGCCCAGAGAACACACATTGAGCTCACCTACCACCTTCGGGCACCCAAACCACCATAATCCTCAGGAGGGCACCAGCCAAGACGTGTTGGTAAGAGTTGAAGAATCCCGTAAACACCACAGGACGCCACTAAGAACTTCTGTGGTCCGCTGTGTTTCACCTCCTTGGTGTCGCAGAACTTGCCTCTGCATCAAGAACTCTGAGCAACACTGCCACAGCACACGGTAAGTCATTATCAATACAAGGCACCAAAACGGCACTATGGCGGCTTGCGCCACGTCTGTTTACGCTCTTGTGGCAGAAAATGGGAACCAGGAAATTGAAATTGAAATAAGTTTATTGAGGTAAAATACACACAAAGGGATGAGGTAGCTCAAGCTATTCTCACCCCGTTCAGTACATCGTGTTAATACATACATATTCACACATCACAAACAATAAACATATTACCAAACATTCTGAGAGATAAACATCTACATTTCCTAGGGAACCAGGAGCTCGACCGAGAAGCATATCACGCAATAGTACAAGTGGTAGAGACACGCAAAATTAAACTTATATATGACATAAGGGCCACAGTGGTTCATAATTTGTAGGAGAGAAACGATACAATGAAAGGCTAAAAGAACTGAACTTCACCTCACTTTATACAAAACGGAATCGCTGAGACATGATAACGATATGTAAGATTTAAAAAGATGCTTGATAAGGTCAATAAACAAGAAATATTCAGAACAAGGCACGTTTATTCAGAAGAGATGAATGGAAATTTAAAGAATATGCAGATAAGTCACAACAATGCTGAACAAAAATATTTTTTTATGAGAGAGGTGAACAAACGGAATGGATTATATATAGCGGGAGAGACAGATAAAGGTAATATAATAAACTGTTTCCAAAGTAGCTACGACAGCAAACAGGACGGTCAGTCACTTCATTAGGCAGTGACTGTTGGTAAGGCGGAGCTCTGGAGCTAGCACTCGACTGAGGGATATGTTCATGCCTGTGTGTTCGTGTTTACACGTGAGGCCGTGACAACCAATAGGGGGGATAGGGGGGTAGAAATAGCCTAAGCTACTCTATCCCTTTGAGATGTATTTATTGCTTATCTCAATAAACATACTTGAACTTGAACCAATAGGGTCTAGGGCCTTACCTGAACAAGTTTTCATCACTAAGTCATCACAACTGTTTAAGTATACCTCACTTGTTCTATCCTAATCAAAAGAAAAGTGAATAGTTTGTGTTTTATATATGTAGTATGCACAAGGTATGACGTAATATTTTGTGCATATTGTATATAAAATTTTGTGACGTCATAATCAGGTTTTAAATTTTACTGTCAAGACTTCCTTAGAATGTGACAAAAGCACTGATGCTGTTTTGAGGGAAGCTCTCCATTGACTATAAGTACATGGGGTTTGGATGCTGATGACAATAACCAAATTAGCCGTCTCAAATCTGGTCAAGCCTACACCCCAGCGCACATAACCGGGTACACACAGGGGTAGGGGGGGGGGTAGAAATAGCCTAAGCTACTCTATCCCTTTGAGATGTATTTTTTCTTGTTTCGATAAACATACTTGAACTTGAATTTGAACTCACAGGGGTAGAACTTCAACTCCTTGTTCTCTTCTCAGAACCTTCAGTCAACTGTTGGTCAGGTTTCAGAGCCTTTTAGGCTGACATCTACATTTGAATCTGTAAATGGGTTCTGCATCTAACACTGATCACTTCTTAGGCATAACATTGATTAAGTAGCTTTGTTATGAAATTCTTGGTCTCTGGCTTTAATTCCTTTGACTGATGTCAAAGGCAACTGATTAACGAAGTATTTACCAAAGCACATTCAACATTCTTATCACAATGTTAACAATAATTCAGACGGGGGGGGGGGACAAGCAACCAGTGTATATATATATATATTAAGCTTATATCGAGGTGCCCCAAAGGTCGATCTACTAACCAGGATGCAGCCCAAGTTGGCTAACTCCTGGGTACCTATTTACTGCTAGGTGAACAGTCGATTAGGAGATAGGAAACGCGCCAAACCATTTCTGTCAATCTCGAGATTCCTGATTGTGAGTAGAGAACTAACCCAACTGTGCTACAGGGACCTTTTCGATAATCTTTCATTCATTAAGTACCCACATGACCTACCTCAATCAAGAAAACTTAACGAATTTAGTAGTTGTTAGTTTCCTTAATGGAACATTGAAATATTTCAAAATAAACATTAATGGCAGAAATAGCGCCTCAGGTAGATGCCAAGCACCTAGCACATACTTAACTCATGTGCGGTCATTTCATTCATTATTAGTAAAAGGCTTCGGGCTCAATATGGTTTGTATTGCTAAGTAATAAAAAGTAATAAAAAAAGGACATATTTATGAAAACCACAAGGATCTTTTCAAATATTTATTGTCTAAAATCATACTATTATATCATTTTCAACTATCTTAACACGATAAAAAATAAATATGTATATACTGTATATATCATAAAACCACATGGTAATATATTAATCACTGGTACCGGTGTTGTTGCATTATGTGCTTGCAATCATATCACATTCCTGAATGGTGTGTCTACAATCGCAAGGCAAAATATAAATTAGTTCAGTACTGTACTAAATCTAAAACTTTGCTTACAATGGACATAATTCAATATAAAATTTGTACATTATTATTACTTTAAAAAAACAACTATTAATTCATGTTATCCGAGGTCAATCGTTTTCTAAAATAGTCATTAACAAACATCTGGACTTTGTCTCTTAATTTTCTGAGATTTGCTTCTTTCTTTTTTAATTGATCATTTCTTGCTTTAAGTGTTACAAGTTGCTCTTCCATCTCCTTGACTGTAGCTTTTCTCTTCTGCCTACACTTTTTAGATGCCATATTGTTTAACTCTCTTATTCTTTGATATTTCTCTTGTTCTGTGAGTTCAAGCAATGACCGTCTGCCATGCCTTGTAGTGTGACCAGAAATCGTAGCTACAGGTTCCGATGGAGAGGCCACAGGAAGTTCCATTTCTTGGGTTATGCCAAGATCGTCGCACGGAACCGTGTCCCTGAACCTGAGAGGCTTTCTAGAGTTCCTTCTCTGTCTAGTTCCTCTAATCGGACCAACACTAGAGGATGCTGTACTCTCATTCGATACTCCAGACGCAGGTGATGGAGATGCAACCAAAACTTCAAATCCCTCCACTGTCTCATATTTAAGTGCTCTTGACATAGAATTACACCCATCCATCCTTGAAGGAAGTTCGGGTTTCTCCGCTGAATCTGACCCAAGCCAGTGGCCGCTTGTTTGACCTTGTGGAACATTGAGCTGATCCTGTTGAATGCTTACTTGGGAGATGGCTTTGGCTCCTTCAGTGGGCAGTTCTGATTTGGCAAATCTTTCTGCTTCAGATGGAGGTGCTACCTCGAACTCCTGCAAACAGATTTTCTTTTAAAATGCAAATTTCATACACTAAAAATGTATTAAAGTGTTCAAATCTAATATTTTTGTCCTATCAGATGATGAAAATTTACTTAATTATGAGAGATTAAGAAACCACTAATAAAGTGTATGATAAGAATTATTAGGATAATAGAGCAGAAACCAAACCCAGAAGGAATTGTGTGTGGAATTTGAAAAGTCAGAGGAAGTTGATGTTAAAAGGATGTAAACACTGCAGGAATTGGATAGAAGACTGTCAATGGTAGAAGTATACAGTAGGACCATCAATGTTGGAAGTATACAATAGGAATGGGGAGGATTACAGTAGGAACATCAATGTTGGAAGTATACAGTGGGAACATCAATGGTGTAAGTGTAGTAGACATCAACTGTAATAACGTTGAGCCATCATGAAAGCGAGTATTTTCATGTAAAGATTACACTGTTTTATGGCCACTGTAAATGTATACTAGTCAGGTACATAACCAAGAAGTTCATCAAGCAGATCATTGAGGATGCCAGTGGCAGTATGCCATGTGGTGCCAAGTCACTTTGGTGTGCTAGTAGTATCACACGGCAACATTCCTAATCATGCTAGTGACCTGTGCTGGGTCAGCATTCTTCACACAAGGGACTGAGCTAACATCAAGAGTGGATCAGATCTATCATCTACTGACTAGGGCAGTGGAAGCCACCAATACTTGATAGCTAGATATGTGGCCATATATTTTGTACACATGTTACCCATATACATGTACAGTACAGTATCTTATATAATAAAGAAAAGGCCACAAGAGTTTGTTTTACAACCCCTTTCACACATAAAAGGAAAACAAACTGACTGAGATGGAGGATAGAAACAATGAAGTGGATGGGATGACTTCAAATTGATGGGAGATGGAAAGTCAAAGGAGGAAGTTGTTGAAGTAAGAGGAATAAGATAGGGTATAGGAGAGGACTAAAATAACAGAAAGATATAACAAGGAAGAATAAGAGAACAAAGGTGATGGACATTAAGACAGGACTAAGATAAGAGATGAATAAGAGGATAACAAGACTATGGAGAACAAGAGAGGACATTACAATCAACCATGACTATGAAGTAAGTAATTATCAAAAGAAGGTGCCAAGCCAGGGAAACGATGTAGCACCTATGACTATGAAAGATATAATTATCTGAGAATGTAAATGAATGAAGAAAACAGCCACATACTGTAAGACAGTATGGTATTCTTATTTGTTAACACCTTAACTAAATCATTTTGTTAACTATGAATAGGCAAATTTACCTACTTATAAGCATCTCATAACATTTTATTTCTAGCTGATATCGAGACCAACTTCACACTAGTTGATCATTAACATCAAGACTTCCTTGCTACCTGCATTTTCTACCACTACTGATACCAATTAAGCACCACAATATTCAAGCCTGACAATTACTGTCATGCTGCTTAAGTGTAAACCAATTTATTTTAGTAGAAGATACAGACTACCGTGTATATTTTATGAATCTTACCTCTTGGTCCAAGATGCCAGCCTTATCAAGAGCGCCACTTAAAAGGTCTTGCTCACCGAGGTACATGTCCAGCTCTGTGGAACTTGGATTGCCATTGTCAGGTAAGTCAGAGTCTGGTAAAAGTTTACACATCTGCTCCAGAATATCTGGGGGAATCTCAAAGTCATCATTCCAAGGCATGCTGGGTACAGGATCAAAAATAGGTTGGAAGTTTGTAGAGCTTGTATTTACTTGTGTACTTGATTTTTGTTCACTGGCAGAGACGAGAAAGTCGGAAGGAGATAGCAGGCGCTTAGGTCTGCAAAGGCTTGGTTCAGATGTGGCGGAAATGAAGCAATTTGAATCTTTTACAGAATCACACTGTGTAGTAGACCCATCCAATTCGAACAAGTCTTCAACCTGGTCAGACTGTGAATTACCGTCTGCTGGGGGTGGACTCAGGTCAAAGAATGCCATCGAAGAGGAAGGATATGGAGCAGAGTTCAGAGAATTACTGAAGTCAGCACCCACCGAACTTGCAGTTTCAGTTTCCACTTGCATGTTACTGTCACTGTAACTGTAAGTGTGTGTTCCACTGAACTTTTCATTAAATTCTGAAAGTAGAAAGTAAATATAAGAACAATTTTCTTAAAACAAGATTTTGCAATAAAAATTACACAATTTAAATTCAATCTTTAAATTAATTGTCTACACCATCATAACTAAACAATCCCCTGTTAGACAAAATGGGCATCAGCAAGTTATGGAGTTAGTATGAGGAGTACTGAAGGAAATTAACCAGGGTCTTGGAAATGATCACTCACTGATTTCAGGAGTGTTGAGATCAGACGAGGAACCAGGGATAAAATTGTCCACCGCGGCCATAAACTGATTGTCGTCTCCAAATCCACTCGGCTTCAGCATAAGCTTTGGCTGTAAGAAGTTCCATGAGTAATGCTAGATTTATGCATAAATAAAGAGTATTCTAGTACACGAACAATCAAAGAAATATACTGTAATACAAGAGCATGGAAAAACTAAAATAATATTAAATCACTCTTACCTTCATTTTGATTGAAGTTCCAGCCGCTTTCCCTAGATCTGGGGAAGCCCCTTTCTGATCCGAGATCAGGGCCCCTTTCCCAGTTCCGACACACCGCTCCATTTTGAAGGGGGAAGGCAGCTTCACCGAATACCATTGTGAAATCTGAGAAAAACATTGCAGGGATATTAAAAAAAGAAGTAATTGTCAATAATTACTTACCAAGGTAACTTAACCAGGGACTGACTTGAGAGATGTTCTTTAATTTACACCAATGTGGTCTTTTGAATCTACACATCTATATATTGGAAGCTGATGCTTGATCCTAGAATTATTTTGGTGTACGTTAAGTAAATCAAACAGCGAAAAACAGAGCATGACTTCTCATTGCTCGGTCTTACGCTTGTCAACTCAAGGTAACCTATTATTTTTACCAAAGGCTGCAACATTGCTGTTGGAGATGTGCTCTGCATTGGACAAGATTTGGAACTTCCTGAAGTTATGGCTCCAAAAGCCAAACTATCTTAATTAGTTCTAATTCATATAATTCTTTCCAAGTTGTGGCTTCTTACTACAGACACTGCATTATTATGCACGTGACAATTGGTACAGCTGTGCAACTGTCGACTTCTTGAGATAGGTGTCCACTAAGAACGTGCGTGACAAGGCTAGGTTGCCCCAGCTGTTGCCACACCTCTTCAGGAATGTCCTGCAGCCCTGCTCCAGAAGGTTGCAGGTTAAGGTGCAATGTGCAGGTCACCACACAAGGGACCACCAACCTGAAGCCATATATTCATTACTGTCTTATTCATCACATTCAATCCTTGGATGATAAGAGAAAAAGATTATGCTATAATCAAGATGAATATACATCATTACCTTTTAAATCACTGTACAGTAAAGTAGTAGGCTGACCACTGAAAAATGGCAATTACCTCACTGATGCTGGCAGTGCAACCTGTCCTCTCATAATACATAATATTTTGATGGCCAAATCCCCAACGGACAAAATATACACTACTGTACGAACCATAACGGCTCACAAACAGTCACTCTTTCTGCGTGTGGTCGGTTAGGTTTGGCTTGCACATTTTAGTACACTGTTTTTTGTTTGTTATATCAACACAAGAGGACAGGTTGAGTAGTGTACAGTAGAACAAGAGCTGGAAAAACTGACCCATATTGCAAAGTGGTTTCTCTAAGATTTGTGTAATGTTACAGTTCTATTCATGTATGCTGCACAAATGAAGCTTTCTTAGAGACCTTGCAAATAATGCCAAATATTCCATTCAAAACTACAGTAACAAAACTCAATGAAAAAAGTGAATGTTATGCACTAATTACCCTAAAGCATACCAGGAGACCTGGTTGGGGACCGGGCTGCGGGGACGTTGAGCCCCGAAATCATTGCACGGTAAGCCAAATATATATTCTTAATGTGTCAAATATATAATTCCTCCACCTTTTATATTCTTATAAAAGTTCAAAGGGATGCTGAACCAATATCCCTTAATTCTAAAATATGAAAATGGATGAAGAGGCATCTGGACCATATACTGAATGTTACTGCTCCACACTCAGGAGCTCTTTACTACAGTATCAAAATTAATTGATCATATAGACAACTATTGGAATGTTTGGCACAGATGAATGAGAAGAGAAATAAAGAAAATTTTGAGTACTTCAAAATGTCTTAACCCTGAACTAGCAGAGCCCATATCTCAAGATATTTAATATAAGGAAGTTAGGTATATAACTGCACCTCTACATTGAACATTAAGATTTTTTTCTTTTTATAAGAGTATAAGAAAGACCATGTGGCATTCAAATTTAAATAGCATCTTAACACAACGGATCTCTAAGCCGAATAATCTAATTTCATGAAAAGCGTGTTGCACTGCTGAATATATAACCAACTTCTGCACTGACACTTAGATGTCTAATTACCTCACTAGTCATGATCTCGCGACAACTAGGTAAATCATATACAGGCGACCCCTATATAATACTTGTAGTTATCTTCCTGGAAAATGAAGTATTAGAAAAGTGTTATACAGTACAAGCTTTATAATATATGGGGGAAAATTGGCTCCCATTTTCAGACATGATAAAATTGTACATTACACAAATACCGTCATTTAAAACAGCGAGAATGTATTTGAGTGACAGTTGATGGGTTTGTGACAGATGAATAAGTTTGTAATTACCCAAGAGCAATTACAGGATTAGAGCTACAGTTGTGGTGTCCCACCTTCCTAGTACCTGTCATCTAACTTTTGTAAATCAGCATGACATGATCCGTCTTAAAAGGTATTCCATTAAAAGTGTTTAAATTAGTATCCTTATGTCATATTTTAAAACAATCATAATTCTGCTTAGAAAAGGTAGTTTAACTAAATCTAAGAAAATGAAAATGCCTGTTAATGCTAGGAAAATCAATGCTAACAACTATATTTGCTACAATTTCATAACATCCCTCCTAAGACGTACTCTTGGGGTTAGGTCAGGCTTGACATAAGACAAGATCTTTCCCAATTGGCTTGATAATAGTCCAGGACGGACCGAAACATCATCGTCTCTTCATCTTCTAGTGTGTGGTTTAGTCAACAAGACAAGATCCTATCACTAGACATGATGTTACTGTTTGGCTGCCAGTCACTTAGCCACAACAATAATTACATATTACAATAAGATGCAAGTCAATTACAGGTTTGAGCTAAATCCGTCTCGTTGGGCCGTGTAATTTTATACACACCAAGACTAACATTGTAATACTATAAATTTCTAGTTAGCTAAATAATTTGATTATATTAATTCACATCTACAAAATTACTACCGTAGTTATACTTTTAACAGAGAATAACAATAAAAACTGAACAAGCCATGTTTAAATGAATGATACATTACAATATAAACTTAAGAGTATGTTAAAAAGGCCAAAGTAAAAGGTAAAAGAGCACGTTAAAAATACTCACTGGATCAGACAAAGAAGGATTTAAATCAATCTTGAAGGGTTGAGGGCCACCAAAGGAAAGCTGGTCACTGCCAGGCCTGAAAGAACAAAAATCTCATTATGTGTACCAAAACAAAAAACACAATATAGTCAAATAACTACACACATCAATATAAAATCAAGTCAACTCTTATAGATGTTAATTATACAAATGTAGCACCAGTGGTCAATCTCAGTGAGCACTTGTAGCACCAGTGGTCAATCTCAGTGAGCACTTGTAGCACCAGTGACCAATCTCTGAGCACTTGTAGCACCAGTGGTCAAGCTCTGAGCACTTGTAACACCAGTGGCCAATCTCAGTGAGCACTTGTAGCACCAGTGACCAATCTCTGAGCACTTGTAGCACCAGTGGTCAAGCTCTGAGCACTTGTAGCACCAGTGGCCAATCTCAGTGAGCACTTGTAGCACCAGTGGCCAATCTCAGTGAGCACTTGTAGCACCAGTGGCCAATCTCAGTGAGCACTTGTAGCACCAGTGGCCAATCTCAGTGAGCACTTGTAGCACCAGTAGCCAATCTCAGTGAGCACTTGTAGCACCAGTGGCCAATCTCAGTGAGCACTTGTAGCACCAGTGGCCAATCTCAGTGAGCACTTGTAGCACCAGTGGCCAATCTCACTGAGCACTTGTAGCACCAGTGGCCAATCTCACTGAGCACTTGTAGCACCAGTGGCCAATATAGTGAACACGTCCAGCACCAGTGGCCAATCTCAGTGAGCACTTGTAGCACCAGTGGCCAATATAGTGAACACGTCCAGCACCAGTGGCCAATATAGTGAACACGTCCAGCACCAGTGGCCAATATAGTGAACACATCCAGCACCAGTGGCCAATACAGTGAACACGTCCAGCACCAGTGGCCAATCTCAGTGAGCACTTGTAGCACCAGTGGCCAATATAGTGAACACGTCCAGCACCAGTGGCCAATATAGTGAACACGTCCAGCACCAGTGGCCAATATAGTGAACACGTCCAGCACCAGTGGCCAATATGGTGAACACGTCCAGCACCAGTGGCCAATATGGTGAACACGTCCAGCACCAGTGGCCAATATGGTGAACACGTCCAGCACCAGTGGCCAATATGATGAACACGTCCAGCACCAGTGGCCAATATGGTGAACACGTCCAGCACCAGTGGCCAATATGGTGAACACGTCCAGCACCAGTGGCCAATATGGCGAACACGTCCGGCACCAGTGGCCAATATAGTGAACACGTCCGGCACCAGTGGCCAATATGGTGAACACGTCCGGCACCAGTGACCAATATAGTGAACACGTCCGGCACCAGTGGCCAATATGGTGAACACGTCCGGCACCAGTGACCAATATAGTGAACACGTCCGGCACCAGTGGCCAATATAGTGAACACGTCCGGCACCAGTGGCCAATATAGTGAACACGTCCGGCACCAGTGGCCAATATAGTGAACACGTCCGGCACCAGTGGCCAATATAGTGAACACGTCCGGCACCAGTGGCCAATATAGTGAACACGTCCGGCACCAGTGGCCAATATAGTGAACACGTCCGGCACCAGTGGCCAATATAGTGAACACGTCCGGCACCAGTGACCAATATAGTGAACACGTCCAGCACCGGTGACCAATATAGTGAACACGTCCAGCACCGGTGACCAATATGGTGAACACGTCCAGCACCAGTGACCAATATGGTGAACACGTCCAGCACCAGTGGCCAATATGGTGAACACGTCCAGCACCGGTGACCAATATGGTGAACACGTCCAGCACCGGTGACCAATATAGTGAACACGTCCGGCACCAGTGGCCAATATGGTGAACACGTCCGGCACCAGTGACCAATATAGTGAACACGTCCAGCACCGGTGACCAATATAGTGAACACGTCCGGCACCAGTGGCCAATATAGTGAACACGTCCGGCACCAGTGGCCAATATAGTGAACACGTCCGGCACCAGTGGCCAATAGTGAACACGGTCAGGACTAAATTTCACTATACCATTAGGACATAGCATATCGCAGCACTTTGTTCATACAGTATTTGAACAAATTATGACTAATTTAAATATAGCTTTTTAAACTAGTCATTTCTTCATAAAAACTAATAAAAGGCAATTTAATATATAATAATTAATATTACGTTACCAATTGCCGTAACGAAGGAGTCACGTGTCGAGGACCGAACCTGGTCAAGCAGTGTCATCAGTGACAATGTTAACTCAGTGACATTAACTATTAACTCCATTAACATTGGAGTTAACTCTTTAATAGTCGGAGAATGTCAGTTTTTCTCGACCAATATCACGTGATCAACATACAGGATGACTTGTGTTTTTACAAGATTAACACTTGAGTACACA